CCGCTGATCCAAGAATCTTGTTGTAGCTAGCTAGTATAGTTACATTTTAGTTTCATTTTATTGTCCCTGATTACATGTAGAGTAAGGCACACTAGTCTTTAGAATATTTTATATCTTTTTTGTTTTAAATCAACAACTACGCATTTCAGGAGACACAGTTGCAACCCTAAGGTTGAAAAACACTTGCCTTAGTTATCTGTCCACCGGAGGCAGAACAATACCAGCCAAGGCATCTTTGCCTGTGTTTAGCCAAACTTCCTTTTTTTTTCTATGGACTTTGGTGTGGAGGAAAGACTAATTTCTGACATAAAGAATTAGGGCAGCCAAGTACTTGTACTGTAATTGTGGTAAGAAAGTGGGCAGCACATGTGGTTAGTGGACCAAAAACTACTGATTTTCTGTTAAAAAAAATTGTTGGTGTGGAAAACACCCGGAGCTGGAGCTTGATCAGCTGTTTGTGTAAAGAAGCTGACAGCTGCTGCACAAACTGAGATTTATTCCTTCAATCTCTCCCTTTAATCTTTGTCATTTTTGTGGAAACGCGGAGGCAGGCGTTGATGAGTGAAGGCTGTCGCCTGACAGGAGGTCATTCTTCACCTTTGAGAACAAACTGAGTGTCATCAGAGAAGTTTAGAAGCTGTGAGTCAGCAGCTGTGAGACCCAGCAGTAGCGTCCACTGAGCTGCTGCAGACACACTCCTGGCTGCCCTCCACACGCTTAGATAAATGACTTTGCCAAAGACCGGGACCGTGTCATCCATAAAACATCAGGCAGCTGGCAGCACGGACGATCCCCCTGCTGCTGCCACTGCTGCTGCTGTACGGCAGCGACATATTTCCATACGTCCACCGGAGACAAGCTAACGTACGTGAGTGACAGAGAGTGAAAGTTACAGACCGAATCTTGCAGCACATTTAAATTTAGACTCATTGGCTGCTGCAGAGTCTGAGACAGACTGGAAATAAAAAGAAACGATGTTTGATAATCCTAAATTTGAAGCTGGGAGGGAAGTGCTTTACGGATGTAATGTCTCCTATTTCCAAAAGGGGGCAGACTAAATTCCTGTAAGTATTGAATTTCTACTTTCTCACACACATCATAAAGTCTTCTGGTATAATGATAAGGCAGAACAGCCGCTGTCGAGTAGCTGAAGTCCTTTTTTCAGGCTAAGTTATTGTTATGCAGATGTTTTATTTCTGTATAACTGTTTAAACTCTGGTGTTCTTCAGTGATGAAGGTTTTATTAGCAGCTATAAACATCCCTGCCAGTTCGCAGAAGCCCAGTCGGGGTTGGGTTACATTAATCTGAGACAAAAGTCTCTGTGCTCTCCATCACTCTGTGCTCATCTGTCTGACTGACGACACGCTTTAGCTGCAGAGAGATGCCTGTGTGTACATGAGCGTGCAGGTGAGATTTTCAGGTAAGGAAAAAAAAAACAAACAGAAACTAAACCCCTTCTGTAGGTGGTTTGAATTTTAAGCCCACCTTCTGTGTGATGTGGATCTCCAGCAGAATGTTTTTGTAGCTGTGACCATCGTTGACCTGCAGAACCATCTGGTCCTGGGTCTCCTGCGAGCCATCGTGGACGTACTGGATCTGTTCACGTGAAAGCTCATCCAGTTTGAAGCGGCCCAGCGGCCGATTGCCCTGCAGTCTGGTCAGGGTACCATGGCGGGGAGGTTCCACCACCATGATCAGAACATCTGCTGGATTATCAGGGTCATCCACCTGAAGCACTGACTTTCTGATGACTGACGAAGAACCGGGATGTTCAACAAGCAATGGAGAGAGAGACATAATCTTCGAAGGCTGGAGAGACAGGAAAAGAGAAAAAGAAAGAGAACTGATATAAGTTTCTCTGGTCTCTTAGCTGGAAGCCTTGCTTTCATTGACATTTAGCCTCTGTGTATCTAGAAAAATTAAACAGCAAGGGGGCGCTCTGAGCACAATAGACCACAACAATTCATTGGAATTTCACATAACGCTGCACCTCCTGCACTTTTTTTTTGAACCAGTCCAGGTGTCAAACACAGACCTCCCTCATTCAGGCCTCAGGTCTGTGGCTGCTGGATGAACTCAATGTGTGTGTTTTGCCCCTCAGGCAGATCAGACTACAGTAAACACAGATGCAGCTTTTATCTTTGTCCTCCTCCTCTTAGGTGAGGCAGAGGTGAGGATCAAATTTAGACAAGATAACTGTCGTCATACTGAGGGCCCCTGGGGGCCAGCTTCAGTCTACGATGACAGGTTAAAAACTGTTTTGTTTCCGTTTGTTGGCTCTGTGTTTGGGTTTTTTCCTGCTGTCATCAATTCCAAATTGCAACAGACAGACAGTTTAAAGACTTAAGGGCTGTCAGATTGGAAAGGATTTCTGCCTCACAGAGTTGTCCCACGCCATTTGGACAACTATCTTTTCACAGACAGTCCTTAGCAATAATATCTTTATAATATTGACAATTATATTTGCTTAAAAAAATTCAAATGCTTTAATGCCGTCTGTCGGACAGATGGAAAGTAGACATTCTTAATAAATAGATGGGAAATGGTGACATAACCACAAAACGCAGTAGGTCAAGGACGACGTAAACTAATAACCTCTTGTATTGTTCACTAGTGTTAGTGGTCACTCATAAACAAAGCTTCTTTCCAAAAATGTGAAAAAAAAATCCCCTCATCATATATTGGTGACTCTGAGTGTGTTTCAATATCGCACCTGCTGTGAAAGGGCCTGCACCTGGACTGTTTCCTGCTCAGAGAACAGCTGAGGGTCAGAAACACGGAGCGCAAACTCTCCCCTCCTACAGGAAGACAGAAAAAGACAGATGGTCAGATCAGAGAATTTTATAAATCACTGAGGTAAAAGCTCAAATTTTTTCCTTCAGTCTCTGTTCATGCGAAGGTATTGTAGCTATGATCTATGCAGAGGTTAATGGATTTGAACTCTTTGTGTCCAGAAGGTGGCATTAATCACAGATGTGACCAGCGGCACAGACAATAACAGCAGCAGCACCAGCATTAAAATGAAATGTCATGACACTGACTGGAGGTGACGCAGCAGAAGTAACTGATGCCAGACTTCATTTATTGTGGTCTGTATATGATGTATTAGTCCAGATGAGAGAGAAGAACGTAACAAAACATCACGTTTTTTAAGGTGGTATTATATATTAAAATAGTCTCTTAGTGTGATTGTTAAAAATGTTTTTAACTATATATCTCCAGGTATAGCAACATTAGTTTTCATTTTCATTATTCAAGCTACCACACAGAAGTCCATAGAAAGATATCATTGATTTTGGCTTACTAAAATCTCTTGTGTATTTTCTGTATTGGTGAAAGGTTTAAAAACATTTCCTCAACCGACCTGGCTTTGTCTTTCTGATGCTTAAAGTGAACTTGGCCGGCCCTCAGCTCAGTCCAGGTGAAGGTACTGTCTCGGCTCAGTTCCTGTCTTTGTTCCCTGTCCATCTCTTTCAACAGAAAAAGACGTCCATTGTTTGGGCCGTGGATGATCTGGAAGACAAGCTGCTGCGAAGGACTGTCGGGGTCTTTGACCTGCAGCAGCAATGGTGTGAGAGCCGTAAAACCTCCGAGGGGAACTAGCAGGGAACCGTTGACATGGAGAACCGGAGGACGAGTGTTGGCTAAAGAAACAAACAAAAATAATAACATTCTAAATCTCAGCAAAATGTCACTTTAACCAGAAATTATGTTAGAAAATATATAAATTCACCATTCCACCATCACCAGAAAATATCTAACAGGAAAAGTCATTACCAATACAGGTCTTGGTCTTTTTATCAGCATAGTACCCATGTCCACAGTCAGGGGCACAGTAACCCTCGATCAAAAATGTTTGGTTCCGACATGCACGGCATTGTCCAATACCATCGCACAGAACACAGTCAGAGGAGCAGGCTGGAAAAAAAAGACGAAGAATTAGTTAATATTTAGTTCACTTTCGATAGTTTAAGTAGTTACGAGCAGCAAGTAAAAACAAGAGTTAAAAGACTGCCCTGAGAAAATGTTTAGTTGGTACTTCTGGACTATAATGTACAGTATATTTAGTGCACATCATCTCTGAAATGTATATATCTTCAGTTCACTGCCTTATCTTACAAAGTGCAGTTAATAAACCTCTGATCCTCCCACACCAAAGTCCACAGGGAAAATCAGTGATTTTAGTTTAAGGGGGAAAACGTTTCTGAGCCAACTTTGGGCTAAATCATCATTCTGTGTCTCTGTTTCCTGTGTCCCTGTTAGCTGCAAACAATGGTTTACTTTGAGAATTTGTTTGTAGTGGGTGGCTTTTATTCATTTTTCGTTATCATTAAAAGGTTTACCTACTCCTGGTTTGAAAAGTTAGTCCTTTTTTGCTGAATCTTTCTTATATTTAGGAAGACCTCTCACATTTGCAGACATTGGTAGAGGAGTCCATGAAGTGGTTTCTGCCACATCCATGCACACAGTGACCCTGTAGAGTGACATACGGAGGCTGACACTGTAGGCACCTTCCTGGACCTGCACACTGTACACAGTGGTCATCACAGCCTGAAAAAAAACACATGCACACACACAGAAATGAGGACGAGTGCACAGTGTTTTCTCTGTAAGATTGCTATGTGTTGATAGAAGAGACTTGTAGACACAGCAGATGAGCTGAGATTTACCGAGACAGCGCTCTCCATCACGGTAGAATCCAGGTGAGCAGCTCTGCATGCACACTCCGTCCTGTAGTACATGCCCATCCATGCACTGCAGACAGTCTGTCCTGAGAGGACCAGTGCAGGCATTACAGCTCCAGTCACACTCTGGGCTCAGACAGAAACAGAACCAGGTGTAGAAGGGGTGGAGAGACAGGAGGAGGTGGAGAAGAAAGAGAAGGTAGAGACAGGGAGAGGAGATGAATGAACAGGATGTTTGTAACGTCTCATCTCCAAGTCTGTTTGTGTTTCACCTCATTAATTGGGATTAAACAGGAGGCAGCCAAGCAGCAACCTATCACTGTTACAATTGTAATTGTCCTGAAAAAAATCTGTATTGACGGAAGCTTAAATACACACGCAAATCACAACAGAGGTTCCTGATTCCAGAGAGAAAGCTGTGGCGATGGGGGATGAAGAGGAAGTTAGCCTCACCTCTGCAGACCCTGGTGGTAGTGTTGAGATAATACTGATGAGCACAGCCGTCGTACTGACATTCTCCAAACAGCAGAACTTTATTTGGGTCACGACAAGATGTACAGATTCCAGCCGAGTCACAGGTCAGACACTGCAGGTCACATGCTGAGGAGGCATGGAAAAGGAATGTGATGTCACAAGGGAAAATGAGAAATAAATAAAAGGTTTTAACAAAGCACTGCAATATATAGTATATAAATATCAATTATGTTGTTAAGGATGTTGAGAGCAGGTCAAAGCAATATTTTTCATAACGGAGGCTCATAATTATGATTATAACTGACATTTAACAATACAGGATTTATGACTTAGATTCAAGTTATAATCATATATATGATTTCAGAATAACTCAGAATAGAGATAAATATACTCAACATGATTATCAACATTTAAAATAGGAAGAGTAAGGTTTGAAAATATCTGAGATTTTTTATTACAGATCCAAAGTGTAAGATGTTACATTTAATAATTTAGAGTATTGTTGACATTGTTTTTTCCAACTGACCCTGGCAGACCCTATGACCGTTGTCATAGTAACCAAGAGGGCATTTGGCAGCACAAATTCCTGATGGCAACAGAACGTTGGTCACATGACAGGATGTACAGGAGAGGGGCCCCAGACCACTGCAGGACTCACATGATGGGTGACATTCTAAAAAAAAATTGTTATTAAATGATGTTAGAACAGTTCATTAAAACTGGACTCACAGCTCCCCCTGCCGAATAACAAAACAAGATCCTATTTTTTTAAAGAACTCTTGGAAGCAGATTAAACTCTTACTGATGCAGGCTCCGTGTTGAGCGAAACGTTCTTGCGGACACTGTTGAACGCAGTGGTCTTCCAGAAGCCATGCCCTCGGTGTCTGACACCACAGGCAAACGCTGCCCTCTCCTAATTGCAGGTCAGCTGTGCAACGTTGACAGTTCCGACTGCACTCTGTAGAAAAATTTAGCATAGAAAATTATAAAATTAGGCAAAACCTCCAAACTCCTACAGTAGAAAATAAAATGCTAAGACAAAATTAGACAAAAAAGTTGCCATTGTATTCCAGCAGTATCGTAGCAGCGACAGTGTACCTGCTGTCGTAAGTGTATGGTATAGAATATATTTTGATAGCTCACTAACTTGCTTTGGACTGTTGGACGCTGGACTAGCCAAACTACCAAAAAGCAGGAATTTGAAAAATACTTTAGTTCAAAACGAGTCAAAGAAACCTGTTAAAGCTAAGCAACTTTTTTTTAAATAAGAAAAACAAGAAGTAAACAAGTAAAGGTGAAAACATATTACTGTAATTTGTTCAAGTATAATAACAATAATTATATTGTAATTATGTAAATTATATTGTATTATAATAATAATAATAAAATCATTAGTTTAAATAAATATGTTTTTGACTCAACCAAGTGACAGAAATCTTTGAGCAGCGGTACAGAAGAGATGTTTCTCAGCTTTTATCGACTATAACTGAATATCTGGCTATGGTACAGTATTAATGGTATTGATTTGACTCCATACATTCTGCTTCTGCTCTTTATGGTGCTGGTACTCTTTTTTTGTAGAACATAAAACAGTGATCTGAGGTTATAGAGGCAGAAGGAAGAGGCCGCAGCAGAACTGCAGATTCCTGGCCCTAACAGACAAATGCTGCAAATCTTTCTACGTCAGAGAGTTTTTTATAAATAGCTTTAGTCTGTTCCTGAAGCAGAAGTAAGTTTTAGAGACAAAACTAAGGCTGTGATGAGCGAGTTTTCTTTTTGTGTTGGTTAAAAAAAACATCCCACTCAATTCTACTCAATTCTGAGTAGAATCTTTTGACAAGTGGACATAAGTATTGAGCCATTTAGTCTTTTGGATTGATCATTTTATGGTCAACAATAGCAACAATAGCAGCTACAACTGTTGCATTCTCATAATTTAGAATTACTTCACGTTGTGCACTCAGTGAGGATGTTGTGACGCAAGCAGGGCCACTGACCTGATGTTGAAGCTCCACAAATGTGGGGCATTGAGATTGTATTTACAGTAAAGCTCTGGGTGCTACATAAACTAAAGCTTTTTTCCATCAGTGTGTGTTATTACCTTGTATTAGATCAATGATTGTCTTTCTCACCATCCAATAAAAAATTGTATCTGAGAATTGTTCCCAAATCCATTAACCCATGTTTTCACATTTAATCATTAAGATAAAATAAAACCAGTTGTGCTTTATTCATCTTAACATTACCAAAAAACTGAAATTCTCAAATATTGATTTTTTTTTTAAAGAAGATTTTTTATTTTACAATTATTGGAGTTTTTGGAGATTCAAGCTCTAAATTACTCAAGATCACCATATTTTATAATTCCCTACATTACAATCGAATTCATGATTAAAGTCCTAAACATGCAACAATAAAATTTAGATACACAGTTGCAGTTCACTGTTATTGACCATGGTAAAATATTGACTACCCTTTTAATGCTAATTATCAGAAACCCTAACAGTAAAGAAATCAGCTGAATTCCCTGTCTGCAGTGTTACATTTCTGTCTTTGTCTCACTTAAGGACAACACCATTCAGACAGCAGAACAAGTTCCATCATCTCAAGCACAGGAGGAAGGAGACAGAGAGAAAAGGAACAAACACTCTGTGTGGCCGTCTGACGCCAACCTCAGCCAGTCTAGACACGTCCACGTAACAAAGGAGGGGTTTGAAGACGCAGCTTCAGCAGCAGCAATAGCAGCAGCAGTAAAAGGGGGCAGCAGCAGCATGAAAGAATGCTCTCCTACATTTCTATGAGTCACTGTTGGCTCAGAGTAGTGGAAAGTAGTTCAAAGACGGACTAAACCTATTCCTCCATGTGGACTGTAAATATTTGGGAGTCGTAACATGTATTAGTTTTTGTGAGGATAACAAGAGAAAATACAGACAGAACTGTTTATGATCCAACTGAGCTAAACTTAACTCAGACTCTTTCAGTGACCAGCTATCAGTTTGTAAAACAGACATTATACAAAATATACAAAACAATGTGTTTGTAACTCACTTAAACACTGTCCAGTTTTAGGGCTGAGATACTGCCCCTCAGGGCAGCTGGTTCTACAGTAGCCATTCTGTAGTGTGGCCAGCAGGGGGCAGAAAGTACAATCGGCTTGAGACGGCCCAGAACATCCTTGGCATGATGGATGACACTCTGAGAGAAAGCATTGAATAGTCCAACATGAGAATGACAAAGACAATGAGAGTGCGGGACTAAGTTTTGCCTAGCCTGACTGTGTTCGAGCGCTGCCTACTGCTAGCTACAGCTAACATTAAATGCACTATGTAATTAAATAATCAGTCTAAGGTGAGTGAAGAGTGAATTTATTTAAAACTGCCTCTTGTGGTAAGTAAATTGAGGTATTTAAACACCAATTTCACAAAATAACAGTGAACCTTCTGACAGATGTAGCACTGAATCAACACTTACCTTGACACTGACTGTCAAGAACAAAGAAGCCCTGTGGACAAGTGGCCACGCAACCCGCCCCATGGAGGCTAGTGGGAGAATTGCAGGATGTACAGTTTTCAGCAGATGGTCCGGTACAACGTGAACAGGATGGATGACATTCTGGAGGCCAGAAAACACACACATACACAGATTGTTGTATTTCTACTGCAGCTACAAAAACAAATGTTTGAAAAATGACAGTAGGTTGTTTGACTTCAACATCACATCTTTAATCCTTCACCTTAGTGAGCAGGCGGCACGTAACATTCCACTAGGCCACCACTGCCCTACCATATATGGGTATCAGTAAATATCGGAATCAGAAATTAAGTGTTTGGACAATATCGGTATATCAGATAGCGGCAAAAAGTTAATATGGGAAATATTTGGACATCCATGGTGCTGAGTGTATACTATAAATTTCAACCTTTTCAGAGTCACAGCCAGGACCTTACCAATGTCAAACTTGTCAATCTCATGTGCCTTCATCTTCCTCTGAGTCTACTCCACGAACCCTATTCTATTATTCGTCAGTCAAACAAGACAGTGATTGAACACAGACAACATAGTCTGTCTGAAATAACATCGTATATCTTGAATGGAACCGGTCCACACTCCGTAGGTCTATTGTGTTTTTGAATTGTCGACTCAGACGCATTTCTGTAGATTTTTTCTTGGTCAAAACCTCTTTTTATTTCTCCTATTTTATCGATACAGGAAAAACACACTCTCTGCAAAACAACATCCGCACGGAACAGCGTCAAAACAACAATACAGTGACCATTCAGAACAAAAATACTGACAACCGCTGAATATCATCACTGAACTAATTAACAGCAATGAGACTGACTGACTGATAATGAAGAGAGGGATCCAGACATGGTTAATTGTTTGGCTGACTGTTTTGTTTCGCTTAATGGGCCTTATAACCCAGTGCGCCTTATGTATGAAAATATTCCCGTTCATTGATATTGCGCCTTATAATGCGGTGCGCCTCTTGGTCCGAAAAATACGGTAATAAATAAGTGCAGCTAAATTTGTGTGTGTGTTTGTGTGTGAGTGTGTGTGTGGCCTTCCTAAGAAAACTTGTTTCCTTTTTCTTTTTTTTTTCAACGTGCCTGGGGGGCATCAACCAGGTTGGGATGTAGAAGCGGTTGTGTGGTAAAAAAAGTTTGCTCTACATTAAAGTTAACTAGATTAAAAAGCTGTTTTTTTCCCAATCCTTTTTTAGGAAACTCGCTCATGAAACTGTACAATACATTTCTTTTAGTGACCTCATCCTTAGATTAAAGCCTTGGGTGATAAAGACCTTTTCTTTTTTAACCAGTAAATCAGGTCCAGTCTAACGACTGCATCGATCAGTGATCTTCTCCTCTGGGATGATTAAGAAAATCCAATCAAGCGAATGGCTGCTCAGCAGCAGCTTAATGAAACACATTAAGTCCTTTGGATTAGTTTGGAAATTAAACTTCAATAGGCTGAAAATCTGAATCTGCAGAAAATAAACATCTGCAAGTCCCGAAATGATTTTCTGTTTAACCTGTATGACTTATTCTCTTTTCAAACACCTAAATAATTTTACTAGAAAAATTAAACCATATAACCTTACATAAATAAATCTGCACATTTATTGGTTCACAGAATTTTATTAATGTGTTTATCCTATGTCTGTATTTTATCATGTTCTCTTTATTTTGAATTTAAAGTAATTATTAGGGTCACAATTGAGTCATATAAGTGAGATATAAAGTCATATTTGTATCACATCAACATTATTTAAAGAATAATTTGCAGCAAGATATATGTTGCAGTGCTTTTTTAATTAATGTTTAGTGAAGAAATCAGGTACGCAGCTGAAAAAGAGAGCCGGAGAGCAAAAAGTGGAAAGAGCGGAATGAACGGTAAAAAAAAAGAAATCATTATAATTAAGGATAAAAAAAAGCAAAGAAAAGCAGAAATAGAAAAAACTGAAGGTGATGGATAAAAAAGGACAGAAAGGTAAAAAAAAAAAGTATGAAAAAAAGCAGATCAACCAAAAAGATGTTTCTATGTATTTCAGTTGAATTCAGTTTAGTTTATGGCCATTAAAAACTATATATTGTTTTAAATTACTCACAACATCTCTCACCAATAACAAATAAATTATTCAGCATTGGCTGAATTAATTTAAGCTTGTTAATTCAAAGACTGAGTTCACTTTGATTAAACATCAGAGATATTGATTACTTTTAACACATCCCAGGCAGGCTGACGGGCTAATTGGTTTAAAATCGACTACGATGGATCAATTACACCACAGAGAGTTTGTCTAGGTCAGGTTCAGGTCCAGGTCCCGGTTTATCATGGAATAACAACATGTGACCTGCCCACCTTTGCAGGTCTGGGTGTCATCTAGGAACGAACGAGCCGGACATCGAGCTGCGCAGATCCCAGCATGCTGCAGGTCACCAGACTGCGGGACCAGAACTTCCTCTGGTTTAAGACAGCGGAGACAGTCTGAGGCCAGCGGTCCCAGACAGGAGCGGCAGGTGGGATGACAGTCTGAAAAAATCAGGAGTCAAAGCTCAGGAACTTCTCTGGGCGATGATATATAAGACATCGCATCATTTTTTAGTTGGAAAAGAAGACAAAAATGGCATACTGTGGCAGGTGTTGTCCTGAGAGTACAGTCCTTCACCACAGGCCTCCACACACTGACCCTGGTGAAGCAGAAGTCCAGGAGGACACAAGGTACACTGGGAAACCGAGGGACCCCAGCAGGATCCACAGGAGCTGTGACACGCTGATGAGATGAGGAAGTCAAACCAAAGAAGTTTAAATTCAGAATACTGAACAGTTCCAGCTGTTAGAGAAGCTGAGTGAGGTGCTGACACGGAAGTGGACCTTCAGCATAATCAGTGTAGACTTTTATTATCACGAGCTCAGCTACTTGGAAACTACAAATCCCAACGTGGTGAATTGATCGCGTGAATAAAACAGTTAAAGATGGTCAAAACCAGTGACTTGTTGCTGTTCTCTCACCTCTGCACCTGCTCTGCTCGTCCATGTAATGTTGAGCCGGACACTCGCTAACACATTTCCCATAATGCACTGCTTTACCTGGAGGGCAGCTCATACAGGAGGGGTTGTCCGGGAAACAGGAGGCACAGGATGTATCACAGGCTGTGAAAAGTGGAAATGTTCACTTTGTGTTAAATGTTAGAAATTGCTGTGCCAAATCACTACTGTAGTTAACAAGGTGGTTAACCAGTGAGGCAACTATGTAAAGCTAACTCCTGCTGCTAATTATTGCTGATATTCAGTACCTAGTTTAACAGGATATATGGTTTACTCTTAGCCAACATGGTAGTCCTGAGCCAATATCGTTAGCCTCTAGTTCAGGTGTGTCAAACTCATTTTCACTGGGGGCCACATCAGCAATACAGTTCCCCTTAAAGGACTGGTTGTACCTGGAAGACTGTATAGATCAAGGGTCCCCAACCCCCGGTCCGCGGACCAGTACCAGTCCATAGGTACCGGGCCGCACTGGGACAAAAAAATTTACTTAATTTTTACTAATTTATTTCATTCAAAGAAAATCCAGTTTCCAGTCATTCAGACTCCAGTCATTCAGACTCTGTTACAAACAGAATAGAGTCTAAAAGATGTTTTATTTTGAAAATGTAATGATCCTTCAATGCTCAGCATCTTGGTACCAGTCTGTAGTACAGCTGGTACGGGGGACCAGTTCTTGGAACAAAAAAGATTGGAGACCACTGGTATAGATGTAACTAAGGGGACCACTGGTATAG